GGGGTGTCCTATGCAACATAGTCACACCCTGGCCTCTGCCCACTATCTTCCAGGAACACATCCTAAACATAATTCTGCCAACCATAAATGCTTCCAGATGGTTCCATATATCAAGGGAGACAGAAGTGAAACAATGGCTTGTCTAGAGGGAGAGTGAGCAAGCCATCTGTGGATCCTAGGAATCAATATGAAGACTTAATTTCTCAATAAAGTGTTTGGGGGCTTTTGACCTTTGGTGTCTTGGTCAAATGAACCATCCATTGACGGCAGCACCCCTGTCCAGCTCCACATGGGGCTGTGAAGAGATGGGTCATGCCTGCAGGGCTTTGGTGGTCACCCGGGAGGGGAGGGTTCCCTGGAGAAAGGGATAAGCTGGGTAAAAGCTTGTAATGGTGACATTTGTAACATTTCCCCCCTTTCTACCCCTGACAGTGTGTTTCCTGGCTGTTAGTGACCTGATGTCTACCCCTCTCTCTACCTTGAGCTCTGTTGTAAATACATCGCACCAGAAGCCACTGTGATGCCGCTGTCTCCTCCTCACCATCCCACCCAGCCATGTGACACTGGCTCCCTGTAGAGGGGCATCCCAAGATGTACAACCCCTTTCTGTATACCTGTCAAAAGCATTGTTTTCCAGGGCCCTTGTCCAACAGTGGCCTGTGCAGTCTGGGGTTCCCAGCTCTTCCCCTCCCCTGTGCTCCCTGCCTTGCCTAGGGTGAGCCACCAGAGCTGTTCCTGGGGCCGCTGTTCCTGGTATCCGGCAATGTACCTGGGTTCATATGTCTCCCAGGCTCAGGGATCTCCATTCCTTGAGGATGTTCTTGGCATGGTCCTGCCCTACCTCATGGGATGGGCAATGCACACACTGGCCCTTATTTTTCCCTTTCAAATAAAACACCAGTCAGGTACCTTTATCTCAGTCTTAACTGTTCCAAGTCTGGAAGAACCAGAGTGACCAAGGCTCCAGCCTTAGTTCAGGGAGAGGTAGTAGATAGGAAGCATCCCAAGAAACCTGCCTGTAAGCCAGGTCCAGCCAGTCCAAGCACATGGCTTCCCGTCTGGGTGAGCCTACCGTCCCACTCCCACATACCTAGGCACCTGCCCTGGGCTGAGGCCAGGCTGCTCCAAGGGTCTCCGAGCCCTCATCTGCCACAGAGCAGCCCAGGTGAAACACAGCCCACGCACAAAGCCACAGGCTAAATCCTGTGGAATTGTTTTTAATGATGGAATTTAACCATTTTCATAGTTGGTTCCTGAAGGTGTGCCAAGTGCCGCTTGCCTCTTCTAGACCCACAGCTCCTCGCTCCACTTGTGGTTTCCGTGTTACTATGTAGAAACACCATGGACTAGCATCCCCATCTGCCCTCATCATAGCACTGCGGGCTCCCCCTGCTGCCCAGGCAAGCCATTCCCACAGGCAGGGAGGGGCATCTTTGTGTGACTGTCGTAGGTGGCGTTCACCCAACAACTTCCTACCCCTGTCCTGCTGCACGGTCCAGAGTCTGGGGCCGACTTTGTTTCTTTGTTATTTATGATCCGGTTTAAAGAAAATAAATATCTCCCAACCTTTATTCATCTGAGGAGTCGTCCTTATTTTTGCTGATCTGACTAGGAACAGTTTATTAGATTTAGTTGCCACCAGACTCCAAAGCCTCTTTCTCCATAGTCTGTCAGTGCCAGTAGCCAGTGCTCCTGTGAGCAGATTATCACCTGTGTTCCAATGAAGACCCCTAGTGGAACTCTGGGATGGACACACACAGTGGGGTGCTAGGAAGAAGATTGTCAGGCAAGGGAGACAAGTGGAGGCAAGAAACTGCTAGACTGTCTTTGTCCACAGCATACAGTATCTTTCCCAGATCCGATCCCGGAAGACGGACAGAACCTGTCTCCTGCAGCCCAGGGAATCTGCAATGTAGTCTCATCTCAGCTGGTGGAGTAGAGGACAGTCTGCCTCAGTCACTTGCGTTACTCAACTTGGTCATTTCCCAAGCTCTCCCATCTGTTCTGAAGGTCCCTCCCAGATGACTGGGAGTCTCTTCATTGTGAACTTCCTGGACAGGTGCTCTTGGGTACATGGTTCCAGCTCAGTGTGCGGCAGGAGCAAGCAGGTGTCAGTTGTCCAAACCACAGTTAGAATTCTGGCCTCTTCCCTTTATTCTCATACCACTTGCTGCCACGCCCTGTGCCTGCCTTCTGTGTGCCCCTCTTTCCCATCCCAGCTTACCCTTGGTGTCCTGCTGCTGCCCACACACCTACCTTAAAGGCTTCCGTTTCCTCATCCGCAAACTGTAGTAAACTGTATACCCACAGGACATGAGGACCACGCATGTTAGAGTAGATCAGCTCACAGAGCTCCAGGACTGGCACAATTTAGCCTCGGTTCCTGAGCCACTAGTGACAGCCTTGCCTGGAGGTTTGGGCAGGTTTTGTCTTCCTTCATTCTTGTGTTGAGTCAGAACTTATCTGCATTTTTCAAGTACGTCCATACTGGAGAAGCTAGAGATTATGACCAGATAAAGCAGGGGCACCCCTGCAGAGAAGAGCCCACATTCTATGTGATCTGATTTCTGCAACCCATCTTTTGGGATTGCCTTTGGGTTGCATGCCCTATTGCCTGCAGGGGGCAGCGTGATCTCTATGGTTTTGTTCACCAGGCAAGCCACAATTACCAATTCAAGCATCATCAAATTTACCTGACATCAAATCCTCAGAAGAACCTGTAGGACAGTTACTGTTAACGTCCATTTTACAGGTATGGAGACATTTAAATGTTTATATGGCTCAGAAGTGACAGTGTCAGTAATCAAGCCCAAGTGGTTTCTGTAGCATACTGCCTCCCGCGTAATAAAAAGTTATTACTAGCAGGAGTTACTTGGGAGTAGGACTATGGAGTCTTTACCTGCCCTCTAAAGTCCCAGTAACCAAAACTTAATTCTACCGAAGATCTCCCAAGGGAACTAATGAGTTTATTGGGCTAACTTATAGAGCATGGGTGAAGAGTTACTGACGTGAGCGTGGGTGGCCCCAAAGCAGCCACACTGGAGAATCTTCACCAGTCATGGATGCTGGTACTCGGGTAATCATCCAGTGTCTTCCTAGCTCTTCCCATGGGGAGACGTCAGTCAACACGCCCAGCTGTGGCGATCATTTGCAAACAAGCACAGCTGGTCTGACAGTGACAGCTGTTTTGCTCAGAGGCGCCTCAGCCCCAGAACAGGAGGAGGATGAGCAAAGAAATGAGGCCAGGTTGTCTTGTGGATGGAGGCTGAGAATGAAATAAGGACTGTGCATCAAGAATGGATGTTTTGGGGCTGGAGAGATGGCTCAGTGGTTAAGAGCATTGCTTGTTCTTCCAAAGGTCCTGAGTTCAAATCCCAGCAACCACATGGTGGTTCACAACCATCTGTAATGGGGTCTGGTGCCCTCTTCTGGCCTGCAGACAGAATATTGTATATATAATAAATAAATATTTAAAAAAAAAGAATGGATGTTTTGTATGTGGTCATCAGTTGTAGGCATCCTTCAGTTAAAGGCAAGGTGGCTGAGGTTTAGAGATGGACAATGGCTTGCCCACAGCCACAACTAGGGTGAGCATCTGTGCCTTCTAGTTCTAAGGATTGTATGTCCACTCCTGATATCTAGTGAGCACCTACCCAGCATAACCTATAGACAAGGAGATTCCAGCACCTTTGAGTGAGAGATTGTTGCAGGGTCAAAAAATAGCATATTTGAGTCAAACCAAAGGCTGTTCTATCCCTCAAGAAAATGGGCAGGGGAGCTGAAATAGGGAGCTGGCTTACTCGGCAAAGCGCTTGCCATGCAAACATGAAGACTTAAGTTCAGATTCCCAGCATCCATGTAAGAAGTCAGGCACAAGACAAAATTAGGTCTTTTATTCCCCCCGAAGAAAAGTAACCTGTGTGGATGTGTGAGCAGGCCCCAGACTAGAGGTGTGCCCGTCAGTAAAGAGGCAGCTGTAGGATAAAATAACAGTAAGGATGTCTGAGAAAGCCATAAGGAATAATGCTACTAACCATTTACAAAAAACCAGAACAGCCTAATAGCCTGTGCTGACTAGTCTTAGGTCATCTTGACACAGCTAGGGTTGTCTGAAAGAAGGGCACTCAATTGAGAAAACGCCTCCAAACGATGGGCCTGTAGGGTATTTTCTTAATTGGTGATTGATGGGGAAGAACCCAGCCCACTATGGGTGGTACCATCCTTGGCTTGTGGTTCTGACTTCTATAAGAAAGCCGGCTGAGCCAGCTATGAAGACCAAGCCAATAAGCAGTTCTCCTTCATGACCTCTGCATGAGCTCCTGCATCCAGATTCCTGCCCTGTTTGTGTTCTTATCCTGACTTCCTTTGATGGTGAGCAGGCATGTGGTAGTCTAAGCCAAATAAACCCTTTCCTTCCCAAGTTGCTTTGGCCATGGTGTTTCCTTACACTAATAGAAACGATAGATACACCTAAACCTAAGTCTGTGTGCAAATATACATATATAGTTTAAATGAACTCTTCTGTGCTGACAGCGTTCCCACCAAGGGCCAAAGACCATGTAACAAAAACCCCAACATCACACATGAGAAGCCCTATTTTGAATGGTTGGTCAGGGTTATCCAAAAGATTCCCAAAACATACAGGCTGTTGCTATTGCCTTTCCTTGCCTCACAGAGTACAAGGTAAGTCCCTATTGCTGAAGATACCATGTACTTCAGAACTAAGGCTCAGAGACCTCTGAGCTGGAACTGATCTGAATGCCCCCTCCCCTTCATGGTACCAGAAGGCATCATACAAGTTTCCAAAGGAGGGCGGCAACCTGTAGCCTTACTAGCTATGCCTATGAACCACAACCAAAGTTGAGCAAGTCCAGAACAGGGCAATGGAAGTGGGGAGTGGGGGCTGGGCTAAAATTAATAATAAAATAATAATAAAAATTGATAGCATTACTTTTGTTTTTCTCATTCAACATCATGGAAGAATATTCTGTTAGAAGAGGTGATTTAAAAACATTTTAATGACAATCAGAACTCATAAAAAGAAAACAAATTGCTTTCCACCTTAAAAAAATAATAATACTCAGTGATAATGGGGGTGGGGACCTCAGAGTCAGACGCTCCAACAGGAGCAGCCCAATAGTTTTCCAGATGGTATGTGTGTGTGTGTGTGTGTGTGTGTGTGTGTGTGTGTATGTGTGTGTGTGTGTGTGGTGTATGTGTGTGTAGCATTTGTTCAGTGCTAGTGAACAAAACCCAGGTAGGTATTTGCACATACTAAACAAGTGTTCTATACTGAGTTCATCTGTTTCATTCCCAAGGGCTTCTGAGCACTGCAAACATCTCAGACCTCTTTGTATTGTCCATTCTAAGACTCACAGCTGGAGTAGAACCAAATTCAAATTCTGGGGCGGCGGCGGGGAGCGTTCCTGGTAGAAGCATCCCTTAGCTTCCACTCATAAGGCCTTGCCACGAGGCCTGCCTTCGGGAAGCTGCGCTCCTCTCTGCCCGTGGCTTGGTCTCCTGGCTTCTCTGACTGAAAGCTGCCACCTGCCAATGCTTCAGTCTTCAGGGTTGGTGCTGCAGGGTCTTCGGAATTCCTGTCCATACTCGTGTATCCACTTGTTGGCCACTGGAGTGGGGCAGAGAGGGAGAGGGAGCTCAACAAGGAGATGGCCACAGGGCTGTCTGTACATGGGAGCACAGCCTAAAAGCCTGCTGTTTGCCTAGCCTGGCCCTCGCCCAACTGTGCACAGTCTGCTGCTTCCAGCATGGTGCGTATATCATCCTCCAGAAAGTCTCTAGCAGATCTCGCTAATGGACAACTGATCTTCACACATGTGGCACTCAGGTCATTCACCATTCTAAAAGCCCCGGTGAAACTGAAGCCCCTGCTGGGCAACAGGGAGTGCTTCTCTTGGTGTCCCTGTCACCAAAAGTGACAGTTTTTCCACTTGCTCTTCTAGCTTCAGAGTGAGATGCTCTCGGACACATGTGCCAACAAACATGTCCGTCCACCATGAAGGGGCCCACCCATCCTCTGCTGCTGTTATTATGGCTTCTTACCTAACCACTCCAGAGACAAATGGCAGCAGCAGGTTTGATAGTGTTTCCCTTGATGCAGAGGGAGGGAAGGCATTCCTCTCCTCCTGACTAGGCCTGTCACCTTTGCTGACACCTGCTCTTCACAGACCCACAAACTCTGCGGGGAAACCTGACTGCCAATCTGTCACGTCACTGTGGATCCGCAACACCGTGAAGTCTTCAGAAGGGAGGCTCTGCCGTCTCCACCCACTCTATGGCTTCTTGGCCCATTCTCTCTCCCACAAAGACAGGCCTTACCCCACTTGTCTCCCACCAGGACAGGACAGCCAGCATGAAGTGTGTCACCATCTCCCTCTCCACTCCTGTGCAGGTTCCACCAAAACAGTGCAGCGTTCTGAAAATGAGAGGACCAGCCCCAGGAGGGGGTGGGGGTCAGTCCAGAGTCCTGGACTTTCAGTAGGCATGTGAATAAGGACACAGAACTTAAACCATTAAATAAGGAACCTCTTTTACCTCCACACAGTTGGAGCAAGCAGGCATTGAAAAGCACAAGAGGGTGAAACTTGCCACTCAGGTGTGGGTCACTGCCTCACAGCCTGCTCTGCTCCAGGCCTGGGCATGTGGAGACAAGCCACATCCAGCTCTGCCCTTGGGGACCCCAAACAAGACAGATGAAAGAGCAGACCAGGACAATGTGACAAATGCTAGGAGCCAGGCAAGCACAGGCTCACAGGGTCACTGCAAACAGACACCCCACTAGACCCACTGGGTCGAAGACATCCCACACACAGCTGAAAGCAAGCACACCACAGCCCTCCACCCACTGAGGCCTTGACATCAAGGCCCTGTGCTCTGACCCCATGCACTGTTTCCTCAGTTACCCCCTAAAGCTCCCTTTAGCCATGGCCTTTAGACTAGACTGAGCCTGGTCAAGGCCCTGGAAACCAGGCCACACCCTGGGCGCTCCTCATTTGCTTATGGGTGCTCAGGATGCACCAGGTACTGCACTCAGGGCTTTAGACTTGGCCTCTCTAATTCATTTCCTTCCCAAACTACTAAGGGCATGTTTGATCCTTCTGAAACATGGAAGAAATGATCACCCACCAAACTTCTCAGCACTGGCTCACTGAGCCACAGCAGTCACTGCTGTGTGTCTTCATGGCTGTTATTCTCTGTGAGCTCTAGGGACAGGGTGACTTGCTCTGAGTCCTTAGTGCCTTAGCTCTGTGGGGACCTATTTACTGTAGAGAATCTGAGGGTGACTCTGAGTTTTTAACCTCTGAGGGACCCCCAGTGACAAGGAAGACTGGCCCGTCATCATCTACTTGCAACAGACATGGAAATAAAACAACAGATAGGATCACAAACACATGTTGTAGCGATAGGGTGTCTAGTGGTTTGAAAGAAAATGGCCCCCAAAGGGAGCAGCACTATTAGGAGGTGTGGCCTTGTTGGAGTGGGTGTGGTTTTAGTGGAGGAAGTGTGTCACTGTGGAGCAGGTATATATACTCAAGCCACACCCAGTAAAACAGACCACTTCCTGTTGCCTGGGGGTCAAAATTTAGAACTCTCAGCTCTTTCTCCAGTACCATGTCTGCTTGTACACCACCATGTCCCACCATGGCAACAATGGAATAAACCTCTGAAACTGTAAGCCATGCCATTAAATGTTTTCCTTTGTAAGAGCTGCCGTGATCATCGTGTCTCTTCACAGCATTAGAAACCCTAACTGTGACAGAATGGGAGATTGATTGTCGTTGGGATTCCAGAAAGAGCTCTTTTTATCCATCTCCCCAGGCATCAGCTTGCAGGAGAGGGGTAAATGCTTTGTCATCACACATTACAACCACATCCTCTAGGGCCAGGCCCTGCTCACCTTAACCACAGGAACACTGAAGTTGGCATAGATGAAGGCCGTGGCTCCTCCAGCTTCTACTGCGCTCAACTATCATGCAAGAGGAAGAAGCCAGAGTTAAGATAGCTGCTGATAGTCCTCTGTCATGTGCATGCAAACTTAGATGTCATTTCTGCACAGACTGTGTGCAGGGCTCCCCTGTTTCAGTTATGGGAGAAATCCGTAGAAGACACTCACCCAACTCCCAAATGTAGTGGACCTCTGCAAGGGTACTGCTACTCATCTGTGGGGCTTCTCACCACTAGACAAGATTCTGGAATTCCTCTCTTATTTTTGTTTCTGGCTACCATCTTGTTAGAGGGCTATAATAAGTAAATTCAAACTTTTATTTACTTTTAAAAATCACATGTAGGGGTTGGTGAGATAGCTCAGTGGTTCAGAGCACCTGTTCCTACTGAAGGCCAGGTTTGGTTCCCAGCACCCATTTGGTAGTTAACAGTCACTTGTAACTACAGTTCCAGGGGCTCCAAAAGCCAACCGCAGGGGTCAATTCTCAGACACTGTCCACCTTGTTTTTGAAGCAAGTTCTCTCTCTGACCTGGAACTTGCCCAGGGGACTAGTCCAGCTAGCCTCTGAGCCCCATGGATCTGCCTGTCTCTGTCTCCCCAGCACTGGTCTCTGAGCCTAGATTTTTACATAGGTTCTTCTGTAGTACCATGCAAGACAAACATTCTACTGACAGAAAGATCTCAGTTCTGGATGTATTTTCTTAATATAAAGGGATTTTTTCATTACTTTCAAAAAATAATAATATATTCATTTTAATATGTAAAAGTATTAAAAATAACAGCCCCATCATCTTAACTCATACAGTCACAGATCGCATTGATTAATAGTTGGCGTTTATGGCAGGCTTTATACTAAGTCTCTACAAGTATATGGTCTCACTTGGTTCTGATCAGAGTCCTATGATTAAAACTGTCATATTTGACATGATCGTACATCCAGTCTGAGTGGAAAAATCACTAACCAGTTGGCTTTCTACTCAGTCCTCCTCTTTCTTCACTTCTTAAAGGTTATTCTCTTCCTACCATATTGCTTGTGTTTTCTACAACCTTGACAACCGTCTTGGGAAACTACTGACATCTACATCAAGGTAAAGATGCAAAGACTAGACATAACTGGGCCCATTTAGGCTCCTACAACACTGATTGGCCTCATACATTCTTTCCCATACTTGCTTGGTAGGAAAGAGTGACAGGCAGAGTTCTGTAACACTTTCTAGATGACATTCTCTTGCTATGGGAAGTATGCAACTGGGCCCCTGGGAAACACATTCAAATCATTAGCATAGTGATAATATTGAATGCCAGCCTTTCCTGGCTGTGCTGTGGAGATCAGAACCAGCCCTCGGGGAAGAGAGCATGCCCAGGGAGTGTCTGTTCTTAAGAGGAGCCTGAAGCCAGGCCTTCATCTTGGGGTGCTTACTCAGAGCCCTTGTAGTTAGCATGTTGACCCTTCCACTGATAGTAGTGATCTTAGCCAAAGACCAAGAAGCATTAATAAATCTCCCCAATAAATGATTGCTTCTAATAGTCTCTTCTAAGTGTCAGATGATTAGAATATGACGAGTTTGTGTAGATAAAGCTAAACTTCATCATCTGAAGGATAATAAGGTTGATGAAGGCCGGGACTGAATCCTGTGGGACCAGGCTAAGGACTTAGAGAAGAGGCCAACTGATCACTTGAGTGTTTTATTTAAGGGTGTGGACTCTACAGGAGACGGGATGAAGATTTCCTCTGCTTATCAGAGGTACTTACCGACTTTCCATCTCCCCGCTCTCTCCTCTTTGGGTCTAAACTGCTATTTTCTCTGCTCTTTCTCCTACAGGTCCACAGGTTCATGGATTGATCCGTACTTTTCACTACCAACTAGGCTTTGAGACCTTAAGGTGGGAGATAGCTGTATCCTCTTCCTATGTTGTAAAAGCCCCATGGTCTCCTAGCTTTCCCTACCCTGACCCACCGCCTAGGCAAGGTCATATTTAGACCTTCGCACTGCAAGCTCTTGAAGGGTAGAAACCTGTCTAGTATCCCTTATGTCTACACCTAACCAAATAATGCTGTCTGAAATTTAGAAAATTCCTAGAGATTTTCTAAATTTCAGTACCAGATGAAATCACTTTGAAAATTCATACAATAAAATAGTCCACTTAGCCACATAAGTAAGAAGCCCTGATTCTCTTAGAGCGAGACTCACATAGATCATAAATGTTGCAACTCGATTCCCAGACTTCATCCTGTACAGGGGGCTGCTTGGCGACTGAGGCAGAAATAGAGCAGATGGTTATTTTGTGTAAATGATACCAGAGTGATAGCCAAGATTTGCCATTAGCACAGACAATGGGATAAAATGAGGGTGTCAAGGACAGCCTATAACCCTGAACTACACCAACCAGAGTGTGTATTCACCTTTGCTGTCAACTACTCAATATACTGTTTAATTGGACATTAAGTTTTTTGGATATGCACATGAACGGATTCTATATAAATCAAACAAATAGTTGTCAAGGTGAAAAATTAGACAAGAGGTTCTGTGCTTTAGGTTCTCTGTAAAACAAAGAAAATATATTATAGAAGATGATTATCTTAGAGAAATATTGAATCATAAGATTGGTGTTCCAGAGAGTTTGCCCAAGGTACACGCTCATTCTTTAATCAAGGAACAATCTGAAATATAACTTACATACCAAAGAATTCATTCACTGTAAATACTATTACTTGAATTTTAGCAAATTATAACAGTTGCCCATCCTTGCCCATAATCTAGTTTTAGAAATTTCCACCAGCAAATAATGGTTTATAATCAACCACGTCCCCACAAAACCTGGTTATCTACTTTCTGTCTCTGGGTTTTGTCTTTTCCAGAAATTTATGTAAATAGAACCATAAAATATGAAGTCTTTTGTGAATGGCTTCCTTCTTTGTGTACTCATTTCTCTCTCTCTCTCTCTCTCTCTCTCTCTCTCTCTCTCTCTCTCTCTCTCTCTCTGTGTGTGTCTGTGTGTGTGTGTACATGTATGAAGTGTGTGCATGTGTGTAAGTGTAAGCCACAGTGCACAAGTGGAGGTCAGAGGAGGACAATCTTGGTCATAGGTTCTCCTTTTCCATCTTGTTTGAGACAGGATCTTTGTTGTTTGCCTGCTGCATATGCCAGGCTAGCTGCACAAAGTCTTCCAGGATTCACCTGTCTCTACCTCGCATTTGCCCTAAAAGTATTGGGATTATGGACTTGTTCTACCATGGCTTGGTTGCATTTTATTATGGTTTTTATAGGGATTCGAATGCAAGGTCCTCATGCTTACACGGCACACACGATCCTTGAACCGTCTCCCCAGTCACCTGAATACTACTTTTAAAGTTCCTGGAATCTTGATAAAGTTGGAGCTATGAGTCAGTTGCAGGGAGGTCTTTTTCCCCTATGATGTTGTGAATCTTTTCATTTGTTTATTGGTCACCTGTGTATCTCATGTGCTTTCCTTATTTTAAAAATATCAGCATATTAATTGTATTCATAGGTTTCATGGTGCTATTTCCATGATTTGACTATGTTTTATTCCTCAAAAATATTTGCTACTGACAATATGGTGAGTAGTTGAAATCACAAAGAAAGGAGAGGGATTTGAGGACAACCCTCATGGAAAAGTCCCCAAGGGAAGTAGGAGATAGAATTTTATCACAGGCTGTATTCTTTTTCCACTCAAATTCTGGAGGAGAGGAAGGTGGTGGCAGACAGTGTATGCAGTAATCAGGTAAAACCAAGGCTTTCAAATATCCTGGAAACCAAAGCCTTTGTGCTAGGCTCTTCCTTAGTATTTTCTGAGAACCCCTCCAGATCTCTGCTTTGAAGAAGAACACACTGGCTCCCTACCCCAGAAGACTGGCCATTGATCCCATCGTTACCGTAGCGTGGTCAAAGTGAGGCTCATAATGCCCTCCGATTCCATAGTTCACCACCTGGAGGTACTCTGCGTAGGGAGGCTGGATGTCAAGGCCTGTGAGGGCAGCAATGCGGTGGTCGAGGGTCACCAGCATTGGGTCAACGGTATCCTTCAGCCAGGCACTAAAACACAGCAAGGATTGGAACAACAGTCATCTGATGCTGGAAATGACCGCATGATGTCTGTGACTGAAGAGATGGTGTGGTGGTTTGAAAGAAAATACCTCCCAAAGGGAGGGGCACTAGAAGGAGGCGTGGCCTTGTTGGAGGAAGTGCGTCACTGTGGGGGTGGGCTTTGAGGTCTGTTTTGCTCAAGTTATGTTCAGTGAGGTACACAGTTCATTTTCTGTTGCCCGTGGGGCAAGATGTAGAGCTCTCAACTCCTCCAACACCATGTCTGTCTGCATGCTTCCATGTCCCACCATGCTAACTGACTAAACCTCTGAAACTGTAATCCTCCACCCCAATTAAATATTTTCCTTTATGAGAGTTGCCATGGTCATGGTGTCTCTTCACGGCAATATAAACCCTGAGACAGATGGATGAATGAATGTATGAATAAACAAATAAATCAAGCCAGTTAGAGGGAAGTAGCCATGAATGTCTAGTCACTTACTCATCCCTCATGTTGAGCCAGTCTAGTGTGCGTGGCCTCCGATTTCGACATTAACATAGCTAACATTCTCTGAGGCGAGAACTGAGCTGAGCCCAGTGAAAGCTCGCAGAACTCGGGACTGTGACTCAGAGCTGAAGATTACAAAACCCTATCCTTAAAACTGCTGTACTATGAAGACATCTCCAACAGAGGAGGCAGAGTACCATGAGAACAGCGGAGACTTAAAGCATTGACTTCTGGGTGTGGTGGTGTGCACCCAGCCCCCAGAAAGGTGGTTTAAGTCCAGGAGTTCAAAAGCAGCCTGGGAAGGGAAAGAGAAGTGGGGGAGGAAGAAACTAAAGTAGTAATGACAGTTCTTCATCTCTGCAAGGTGCTGTCAATACTTAACCTCTAACCTCTCCAAGGACCAGTGTGCCCCTCTATCAATGGGGGCAATTATTACATCTACTTCTATATTTTAGAAATCTGTAGGAGAAACACTCATGGAGATGTTCTGTAAGGTGTGTTGGTGACAGCTATGGTACCCAGGGGAATTTCAACTCTGGGCAAACCAGAACAGGTCAAAGCCCAATTCAGACACTTCCTGAACGTCTTGTTGAGGTTTTTACAATGTAAAAAAAAAAAAAAATAGAATCAGAATTGAGGCCCCTAGAAAAATGAGGCCATGTTCTCTAAGCACAGCCAGTGACACCCTGACAGGTTAATTTGTTCCACATACTTTTATGCTCAGATTATTTATTAAACTACATGCTCCTAGATTTGCAAAGATACCCAGGACAAAATTAGCCACTACTTTCAAAGAAGAAAGGCACAGAGGCTGGAGAGATGGCTCAGTGGTTGGGCAACTCACAACTGTCTGTAACTACCTTCTTCTGGCTTCTGGGTTTAATGTATGCACATGGTGCACACACAGCTAGGCAGATATTCCAGGGCTTAGAGAACTGCTTTTTCAAATGTCCCTGCTGAGGGTGTGGCTGCAGAATGCGCCCCACGGGTGCATGTGTTTAATCACGCAGTCTCCAGATGGTGATGCTGTTTTGTGAGGTTGTAGAACCTGGGGGTGGGTCTTGAGGATCATACCCCAGTCCCCCTTCCATCCCCAGCCTCTATCTCTGCTCCACAGAGATGTAAGAAGGTGAAGAGGTTCCACTCCCCACTCCTGCCACCTTGGAACCACCAGCCACCAAGTCCTTCTTGGCCACGATGAACTGTATCCCCTCCAGCTATCACCAAAACCAACCCTTTTCTTCAGTTGTTTCTTGCTGGGATTTTGCTCACAGCAATATGTAGCATACACAGTCCCTAAATGTACCAGGCAAAATAAATTAAGCGAACCAAAGTTTTTGTCTCTCATGTCCCCTCCCAGAGGACAAGGACATGAGCCTAGAGGTCTAGCCTTTCTCTGGGAAGTTGATGCCCCTTTCTCATGTGGCTGTGATGGACATTCCTCCTCTCACTCTCTCTCCAGCCCTGTACTCACTGCAAATACACGGCTGAGGGTAGGAAAGGAGGGAAGGAATAGGGAGGCTAGGTCTGGGTGCCAACTGGAGCCTGCTCCTGGAGAAGCCAGCAGGTCCAGGGAGTCCATTCCTGCCTGTGGCCTATACATTGCTCGGAAAGCTTTGTCTAGGAGTCAGGAGGTGGAGCAGAATCTGCAGAGTCAAATTACAAATGTGTGTAGGAACACACATTACAGATGTGTGTAGGAACGCACTCTGGGAAGTAGTGCCAGACGCGTGTTTTCCGCTCTGAGGTGGAGTTTTTTCCGAGCCTTTTCCTGGTGACATCTTAGTTATTCTCCAAACAATATAGCATTTTGGTGAAGGCACTGGGGTGGCAGGGTGCAACTGTCTCTCGTAATAGTTTCTCACATGAACTACAGGCTCGCGAGCCATCCCAAGAAAGGTTGCTGCTGACCTAGCAGTCGGCTGTGCCCTCAGCCCCAGGCCGGCTGGGCCTTCCTACCTTTTGCTGATGCGATACTCCACTGGTAACTGCTTTTCCCCCGAAGCCACCACGGATCTCTGGAGCTGGTAGGAAGCACAAGAGAAAGACCAGGTGGTTCTGGTGCAAAGGGATGGCTCATCGTGTCCACAGACGTGCCTCCCTCTAGAGCGTAACCATCACCAGCTCCTTACTCCTTAAAGTGTATTTCGTATGTGGCACAAAAATGCACCACAGAATTCCTTTTGTACCTGTGAGTCTAAGTTGGGGAGGAGCATAGCCATTTCTCATTTTGGCTTGTATCACAGCATCAGTTCTGGAGCTTGCACAGAGTAAACTTAATGTCTCTCAAACTAAACAAACACGTCCAACCACAAAGGTGTGCACTCAGAGGACCCTGCTCCTTCTGAAGAATCCTAAGCAAAGCCCTGCCCTATAGAGCTCACTGTTAAGCTGCAACTGCCAGGCTTACAAAAAAAACCACAGGTTTGAGGTCAGTAATTTAACTGTTTCTATTTTGTGTTGAATTCATCTGTATATAGCATTTATATGCTATCTTTAAAAAAGTATCTCCTTATTGCAAACTCTTAGTTCTAGGGACAGAGAAATGAGCTCTTTTGGCTGTGTCTGCTTCTGTCTCTGGCATCTGAGTCAGCCTCTGCAGGGCAAGGACATCCTGGCAGGGAGAGCCCTTTTCCTTTGCAGATGTAGCAGCCCCCCCCCCCGCCCCTGCCCCCCTGCTGCTAACCCAGGCAGATTTCTTGGAAAAGCCTGTTCTGTTTCCTCAGACTCATTTCCTCATCTATAGGCACATTACAGCAATGGACTCTCAGGAGCTCTTCTTGGCCGGGTACTACTAGATGTATGGTGACCAGTAGTGCTTCTGTCCTCTCCCCCCTCAAACTCGCAGAGATCCTCCTGCCTCTGCCTCCTGAGTGCTGGGATTCAAGGCAAGCGCCACCACTGCCTGGCACCTCTTTCCTTTCTAAAACCATTCACAGAGAGGGGAGAGATGTCATCTTCTGTTATTCTAGGACGAATCAATGTTTTTAAAAATTCTACCCCCATTACAGAATTACTTCGTGCCTAATTCTTTCAAAGTCCTTTCATTATTGTCTACAAACAAATAATTCATTTTTAAAGCAAGGCACTGTGTTACAAAGTCTCTGTTCATAGACTGATGGCGTTGTAATGGCAACCTGGGATGCTATGGATGTACAGAGGAAGGTCTCCAGCCCCTTCTTCTGAGAGGCTCGAAGCCTTCCCAGAATGCCATGCTGCAATCATACAGATTGAAACAAGTCAAGAGTAGAATGTTCCTCACATTCCAGACAGAAAGAACAGAGGGAAGAAGGGAGAAAGGGAAATACATACATAAAGATAGATAGATAGATAGATAGATAGATAGATAGATAGATAGATAGATAGATGATTGATAGATAGATAGATAGATAGATGATAGATAGATAGATAGATGATAGATAGATAGATAGATAGATAGATAGATAGATAGATAGATAGATAGATGAGAGGGAGAGAGAAGGAAGGAGGGAGGAGGAAGGAAGAAGAGAGAGAGAGAAGGAAGGAGGGGGAGAGAGAGAGGCCTGTTTACAGAAAAGACAAGCAGCTGGGTTGTCAAGGGCAAAGGGGGAGAAACAGTGGAAGGATTCAGCCACAGTCAGGCTACAGAGCTGTGTCAGCACTCAAGAGTTTAAACAAGGGATTTAGGAAGTCAGTTCTAACTTTCAAAGATTAGTTCAAGCAGGCAATATGGCACTTGCTTGCTTATAGACTCAACATCCAGGAGGCTGAGATGGAGGATCCCCTGAACCCAGGAATTTGAGGCCAGTTAGGGTAACACAACAAAACCTTTCTCAAAGTATAAAAATAAGGGGTTAGGAGATAGCTCAGTTGGTAAAGGGCCTGTTGTGTAAGCAGGAGGACATGCCTGTGGATCTCCGGCATCCCCATAAGAAGCCAGGTGTGGAGCTGAGTCTGTAATCCCTGTGGGGACAGAGGTGGAGACAGGTGGAGCCTTGTAGCTCATTGGCTAGATTGTGAGTTTACCTGGATTAATGAGCTCCAGGTTCAGTGAGAGGAAGTCTCAAAAAATAAGAAAGGTGGTTGATAAAAAAAATTTTCAAAGCCAGGCTGTGGTGGAGCATGCCTTTAAACCCAGCGCTCAGGAGGCAGAGGCAGGCAGATAACTGTGAATTCGAGACCAGCATGGTCTACAGAGCTAGTTCCAGGAAAACTAGGGCTATTGCACAGAGAAACCATGCCTCCCAAAACAAACAAGCAAAACAAAATGAAAAAAAGAAAATCTTCAAATTCAATTTGTCATCATACAAATGAGTGCACACATCACATACATGAGACAAAATCCAAATGCCCTGGGAGCAATGAGCAAAATTTAGGGTAGGGAGATGGGACACTAACCCACAAAATGTCTAGTGATACCAGCCAATCCATAAATGGCAGAATTAACATAAAAAATGAACTGCTCTACAGCTGATACCAAAAGCTTTGATTCCAGAGAAGGGCTGCTTTAGTCATGTGGCCCTGTAAAGCAGGCTGGGGCTGTGGTCTGTGCTGGGGTCCACGGGAGGTACACGGTTTCCCCTGAGGCCTTGAGTAGGATGGGAGGGGGCGGATAGAGAGGGAGGTGATGGGAGAGGAGGCTTCCTCAGAGGAATGGTGCAAAGGAGGCAGACAGCCCTCCCACAAGCTCTCAGCTTATTCCTGAAATAGTCACAGGCCAGACAGGCGTGAACAAGACCACTGAGCGGTTGCAAAAGGGGTGTGGCAAGGTCTAGATGACCTTGAAGTGAAGGATTCGGTGAGCATCTCTGGATGGGTCACCTGCCCCGTCACCATGGCAACAGAGCTGTTCTAAGGACCTGATGCAGCTTGCGGCTCCCTGCTGCTTCTGGTCAGGTTGCCTCATAGCACACCTGATCACAGCACTTCCCCTTACACCAGTGTTCTCTGCCTTCCCAACGCTGCGACCCTTTAGTACAGTTCCTCACGTTGTGGTGACCCCAACCATAAAATTATTTTCGTTGTTACTTCATAACTATAATTTTGCTACTGTTTTCAACCATAATGTAAACAACTGTGTTTTCTGGTGGTCTTAGGAAACCTCTGTGAAAAGGTCATTTGACCTTCAAGGGGTCAAGATTCACAGCTGAGAAACACTGCCTTACCTGGAGGAAAACTTCCTCACCTCTGTTAAAGCAGAAGGGGTCTGGGCAGGCTGTGTTCTGGTGATGAATTACTAAATGTCTCATTGGATGGGTAGCACACATGGCGTCTGGTTAAAAATAAGTAATTCTGCACCAAATAATTGTGCCTTACGGAAGTGTGACTGCCTTTTCCCGATATTTGCCACAATCCCTAGCCAGGGCAATGACACATTCCTCCCGGCTGGCACCAGCTTGGCACAGTCACTTGCTGAGCCTTCCTTCCCTATGAAGGATTAGACAGGGGCCATCCTGGCATTCACTGTGTAGATTAGATTGTCTTCCAACTCACAGAAATCTGTCTGTCTCTGCCTTTGCAGAGTCGTGTCTGGAAGTGATGTGGTATTTACAAACAGAAGCTTTAAATCCAGCTCATGTTTGCCATTTCTGTCTTACTCCCTCTTCCATGAGGCTGGTAAATCCCCAATGGTGGCTACTCTGCCAGGCTGGGTTCCAATCTGGCTTGGAGACCAGCTACAGCATACGGTCAGCCAATCCCACACAAACATGTGATGTGGTAAACCATCGCTGTCTCCAAGGCTCAGGGGTCGCTGACTACGAAGCGTAACTCAGCCTGAGCTTATTAAAAGACAGAACAGCAAAGTGACAGTCCCGATTCTAGCTACATGTTTACTTTTATCAAACAAGTTCTCCTTTCTGGGCCTCAGTTTCCCCTTTAACAGAGTCATGAAGTTGAATCAGCTCATCGACATCTGCTCTGTAAATGTGTACTAGTATTTCACTCCTCGTCCCTGTCAAGAAAAAGTTGTCACTGAGGAAAACCTCATTTATGTTTTCCGAGATCCCTTTGATTGATATATAATGATACCACCCAGGTATCAAGTACACTACTGACTGGATATTGACAACTGTGTATAGCTACATATCCTATGTCTCTTAAAGCCGTTGGCACGGAATCCTTTCCCACTAGAGACAAGTACAGCCATGATTTTTCCCGCTGCTGACTGGCCTTACAGAATGGTTGGCCTTTTGAACTCCTGGCCTAAGAAAGAGTCTTGCCAGGCCAGATATCTGTTCTCCAGGCATGTGGAGATACAAAGGGTATTTGAGGATGCTCACCCAGGGTTCAGCAAGCTCTCGGATTTTCTGAGCTTCCGCATCACTAACAAAGTCATGGTAGAGAACCACAAAGGGCCGCAGGTGAATGACCTCCTTGCGGGCGGGCTGGAGCAGCAGGTAGGGGCTGGAATTGGTCTCGTAGGAGCAGTAGAGGCTGGGGATTTGGTAGTGTGTGGGCTGGAAGGAAAGAGTAGAGTCGATGTAAAAAAAAGAAAGGTCAAGACTTCTGGGAGCCACGGCACAAAAACTGGAATTGGGGGGGGGGTAACAGAAGATTGAGTCCCTTGGGTGTTGTTTGGTAAGTTGTATTGCCTTTAAGGCATCAGTTTTCCCCTCAAATTATCCCAACTCCAGCCAATCAGCCCCTTTCCCTTTCTCTGAGGGATCCCACCTGGGAGCCCAGGGTCTGGCATAGCTCCTCGTACGTGTCTCTGGTTTGCAGGTGAGGCACGTTGGGTCTCTGAATGACAACTTCAGTTGCCTCCTGATGAGTGCTCTCTGCCAAGAGTCTTTCGTATTTCAACACGTTCCTGGCCATCCTCTTATTATCGGGATCTGGGGGAGAGCCAAACAGGAAATCACACAGATGAACAAATCTGGCCCAGGAAGAATGCTTGAGAGCTCCTGCTGCGGGGTGTGCTGGCAAGTCTCTAACCACGGCTGTCAGGAGGCAGAGGCTGGAGAGCTCTGTGAGTTCCAGGTCAGCAAGGGGCTACAGTGTGAAGAAAGAAAAGGGAGGGAGGGAGAGAGGGAGGGAGGGACGGAGGGTGGGAGGGATGGAGGGAGGGAGGGAGAGGGAAAGGAGAAGGAAGGGAGGGAGGGAGGGAGGGAGGGAGGGAGGGAGAGAGGGAGGGAGGGAGGGAAAAAATAAGGCAAGCAAGCCTTCTTGGAACGACTTAAATAACATCCCATGTCAGTGTCTGTCCCCTGAAAGAGCATCTGGCATTAAAAGCTGACTGGTCTGTGTCTGCTGGACCTGAGGGATGGCTGCTCTCATGCTTAGACAGGGGACCATGATGGTCACTTCTATGTTAGAAAAGAAGTTTCACCCATCCATCCAACCACTCAATTACCAGTTCACTAATAAATGTTTAAAACTGTGTTCTATTCCAGATACTGTGCTAGGCTCACCTCCTGGAGCGCAGCATCCAGTAACTACTTGAAAGAGAACATGGCAAGCAAGAGCAGTGGAAGGAAGCTCAGTCATCACCTAGAGTACAGGCCTATATATATATTGTGTGTGCTCACAGAATGGGGGGTGTTACATGTATATGAGCATATGTGTGTATGTGGCGGAGGGTGAGCCCTTGTGTGTGCTTTTGGAGGCCAGAGAGAGAGAATGTTGGGTGTCTTCCTCAGCTGGTGTCCACCTTATTCCCTTGAGACATGGTCTCTCACTGACCCTGGAGTTACTTGGGTTTCTTCTGTCTCTGTCCCTTTCCAAGCCCAGCTCTGGTGTTACAGGCAGGGTGTATGTGGCGGTGGAGGGGTTGGTGTGGGTCATGCCCAGCTTTTACACGGCTGCCTAGGATCCAAACTCAGGAACAAACACTTGTGCAGCAAATGCTCTTACCAGGGCCATCTCCCCAGCTCCCTGTCTTTGGAGAACTGGAAGCATATCCATTCTCAGCTCCACTAGATCTCTGGGAATGATCCTCAGAATTCCTCCAGGGGCTGAAGAATGGCTCAGTTAAGAGTGCTTTCTACTCTTTCAGAGGACCACAGATCAGTACCCATCGCCCACATCAGGCAGCTCACAACCACCTGTAACTCCAGTTCCAGGGCAGCTGACACCCTCTTCTGGACGCCTCTGGCACACACATGTGCACACACATGTGCACACACACGTGCACACACACACTCACACACACACATGCACGCATGCACAACACACACACGCCCGCACGCACACAAGCACATGCACACATACACACACGCATACACACACATGCGCACACACATATGCACACACATGCATGCACACACACACACACATGGAAGGATGCACATGCATTAGAGGCTTGACACTATTGTCAAGAATCATCCTCCATTGCTCTTCCACCTTATTCACTGAGGCAGGGTCTTCAACTGAACCCAGAGCTACTGGATTTATATAGTTTTGCTAGTAACCTTGTTCTGGAGACCTCTTGTTTCCCTGCTGCCTCTGAAGGCTGGAATTACAAGTCTGCCATCACACACACCCAGCATCTTATGTGGGTTTTAGTCAGTCCAAACTCTGATCCTTACACTTGCAAGCTAAGTGCTTCAATAAGAGTCACCACCCCAGCCGCTTAACTTCTTTATACTACTAATTACTCTTGTGTTTCCAGGTCACGGAGTGACTTCCATATCCTGTTCTTTGTCAAGGTATCAGAAAGAAAAAAGCTCTCTCAGTGGATGATTCCAGGATCCCTTTAGAGCCCCCAAACCCACAGATGCTCAGATCCTGTTTATAAAATAGTATAGTGTTTGCAGAAAGCTTATGCACACCACCAACATACTTTAAATCATCTCTATTTATAATACCTAGCATAATGTAAATGCTATATTATACACAAGTAAGGAGATCATTGTTACACTGCACTGCTTAGGGAACAATAATGACAGAAAAGTCTATTGTTTTTGACCAGACACAGTATTTTTTATACAAAGTTTATTAAATTCATGGATACAGAACCCAGAAATGGAGGGCCGAACACACTAGGTGGAATCATTTAAAAGTTACAAATAATTGCAGTTTAAAAGTACTCCACAGAGGCTCGTGCATGTGAGTTCAGTTACTAGCACCCACATGGTGGCTCACAACCATCTGTAACTCCAGTTCCAGAGGACCTGACACCTTCTTCTGGTCTCCATGAGCACCAAGCACACACACGGTGCATGGTCAAACATGCAGGCAAAACACTGACACACATGAAATAAAATAAAAATCTAAAAAGAAGCCCTTAAACATGTGGTGATAATAGTGACTTTACATCTTATTGGAGTAGCTAATGCTTAAAGGAAAATCTAGAAATTTTATGCAGAAATCTTGAAGCTGAGCTTCTCAGCATCTTCTCCTTTTGCTGTTGATATAAAGCATTCCCTGAAGGGGCTGAAGCTGGACTGGGCAGGATGCCTGCATAGCCAAGTGAGCTCTGGCTTTAGGGGAAGAACTGATAGCTCTCAGTAAACAGCCGAAGAAGTGAACAGCCCTCTGATTCACTCCCTTCTCACAGACACAGTGCACATTGACTTTATTCATTCCTGGGTTTCCTTCCAAAACCTGGGTCTCCAAACCGCCTCTGAAGAACCTGGCTCTAAACTTGTTCCCGTCAAGAGAACAAGTTGGGAAGGGGCAGGTTGACATCTTCTAAGCATTTTTCCAACTAACTCATGAATTTCTCCCTTTCAACGATCTGTTTATAAATAAAACGAGATTAGAATAATAAAAAAGAACGGCTGGGGCCTGGGAGGTTGCTCACAGCGTGCTTGCAGTAAAAGCAAGGGAGCCTGAGTTCAGGGACCCAGCGCCCACATGGCCACCCACTTGTACTTGAAATCCCAGCTTTGGGGGTGAAGACAGATTGTGGTAGCTTGGGAGGTTGCTAGCCAGACAGCTTAGACAAAGCCGTGAACTTCAGGTTCAAAGACCATTTTCAAAAATAAGGTAGAGGAACTGCAGGGATGGCTCAGTGGTTAAGAGCCTTGATTTTCCTCCTAGAGAATCTGGGTTCGATTCTACCCATACAGCAACTCACAACTGTCTGTAATTCTAGTTCCAGAGAATCTGATGTCTTCTGACTTTCTCAGGAATCAGGCATGCAAGTGGTTCACATACAGACAGACAAAATACTCCTACATATAAAAATACTCATAAAGCAAAAATAAAATTAAATTTAAAAAAGAGACATCAATAAAGGAAGACACCCAGTGTCCTCCTCTGGTCTCTGCATGCATGAACATAGGCATGTGCACTGGCACACACACACATACACACACACGTGCACACACACTCACACACACAAACACACATGCGTGCACACACTCACACAAACACACACATCCGTGCACACACTCACACAAACACACATGTGTGCACACACTCACACAATACACACATGTGTGCACACACAGTGCACACTCACACACATACATGAGTGCACACACGTGCACACACACCCACACACATACACACACACAAACTATACTTCACTTGCACGAATAATTAAAGGTCGGGCAGAAGTGAGATGGGTAATGTATGCCTTAGTGTCACTTACTGTAGAGAAGGAACTCTCGGGAGAGGTTGAGGGCACATGAAACATTTCCTGCCTTATTAAAAAAGAAAAGAAAGAAAATGTCAACTGAAATAAAGATAGTTTCTCTAATCTAATCACTGACTAGTTTTAAAAACTATAAAATATTCTTACTGCAGTAGATAATAAGGTTCACTGAAATAGACAATGGGCTAGAAATGCAGAGGTTTTGCTGTTGTTTTTGCAGCCCTGTTACAAATCAAATCTCCGTATTAACCAATATGTTATTACCACTCTCACCAGCAAAGGGAGAAGGAAAACTCAGGGTGAGTGTGACTGGGTTGCTGCATAGCTTGGTGGTGAATTGCTTGTTGAGTATGTGCCTGAATTTAATCCACAGTACCACCAAAAGGAAAAAAGAATGGGGAGAAGAGGGGAAGGAGGGGAGGAAGGGGACAGTAGAGGAAGGAGGGGGAGAAGGAAGAAAAGGAGGAAGAGAAGTAGAAGGAGGAGGAAGCAGAGGAGGGGAAGGAGGAAGAGGAAGAAGAGGAAAAAGAGGAGCAGCTGAGAAATTCTAGCAAAACACAGTTTATTCTTATTCTCCAGGATTAGTGCTTCCCAGAGTCTAGACAGTGGGAGGAAAGCAAAAGAAAAACTAAAATGAATATGGCCAGATGTGTAGGAACTAGCTGTCTCTAGCCATGCAGCCTCATCATGGTCGAGGTGCCTAAGTCTAAGGAAGCAAATCCCACATAGGAAGACTGCATTCTGCTGCAGAAAACTGACCAGTTGACAGGAATATACAGAAATGGAATTCCTTAAACTTTTAGCATGCCAAAATGTCATTCTAATGATAAAAGCAATAATAATCACATTGTAAAATATATGAGATTTAAAAAAAAAATCACACCACTGAAACACAACCACTTCAAGTACTTTCAAGGCTGTACAATTGGTGAGAAATGAGGTTAGTCATACAGAAATATGGAAGCTGCCATATTTAGGGCAGGGATGTCCATGTGTGACACAGCAGGCAGCAGATCAACAGTACCCAGGGAAGATGGGAGCTGCAGGAGGCCTCAGGTTGGAACAAAGGAATGAAGATGTCAACTCTGCAGCCAATGACCACGTCACAGCTGGATTCAGTGTCAGGTGGGAGAGGATAATCAAACTCCTCCCTTCGTGGCAACCTCATGGTATGTTACCAGCGATGAGCCACAAGTCAGTGAGAGTGCAGGGTGTTCTCCATTGACTGGGTCCCATCAAACACCTATGTGCTGCTGCTATAATAAGTAAGTGAGAGATGAAGACAGCAAAGTGGTCCATGCGTTGGTTAGCACTCTAGACTTAGATTCAGACATGGATTCTAAGCCCACCTCTATGAGCTCCCTGATACTTTAAGAATTTTTTAGGAGCTTGATTTACTTACATTAAATCTATAATGATAATAAAATAGTGGCCCTACATTTGGTACCCCCGGGAAGATGAAACAAACCAGAAAGTGATGTAGAACATTGTACTGCTTGTGGTAAAAATGAGTTTCATCACCCCGCTACCTGGAAACAGGCAAAAGCCAGGTAATCCAGGGCGTCATCCAGACTGGCCTCATCTTCCGTCTTCCACTGTCCGTAAGATGTTCGGAAAAGGCTGACAGCTTCCTCCAGCCACGGAATGGCATGGTAGTAGTCCCCCATGTCATAGGCCACCTGCAGGGACACAGCCACCACAGCCTTAGTCCACAGTCAGAAAATAAATCATCTGATTATTCACAGGATGAGGCCTCTGGACCCCCACAAGCCTAGCTTTACTTTCTAATTAATTTTATTCCGTTTAATATCTGTTATCTAGTAATAGTATATGACATTGTACTTATGGAGAGAAAATGGGGTTCTTGCAGTTAAGAAATTTATATCTAGGAGACAAACAGATGAACTCAAGTATGTGCATTGTGGGACAGAATGGTGCCAGCGCTTTAAGGACAATACCTAATGTACTGTGGAGGCATAGAGAAAGAAGGGGCTTGGGGTCTCAGCAGAGTTACAGAGTAGCACCTTAGACAGACCTTTCTCAAAGAAGGAAAAGGAGCCCAGTGAGCAGAGGTTGTGAGGAAGTGCCTTTTAAAGATGAGATAACAGCAAAATCTTCTGTTTACATAATTCACTGGGGGCTAGCATGAACGGTGGTCTAGAATGTGTTCTTAGAAGGATATCATTGAAAGCTCTGTGAGGAATCAAATTCATGTAATTGATTCAATATTTTCTGGTCACTGAGCATGTGGGCTTCCTCTCCTGAGAGCACTGAAATCCATGGAGGCTATAAACACACCAATCACCACAACACAGCACAGCCGCCACTGTAACTAGGGCGGACATTGGGAATGCTGGAGTGCAGCGCAAGATGGCAGCCTGTACCAGACCTAGCTCCTGTCTCCTTACCAGCGTACAGCTAAGTAGAACATCAGACCTTTGGGGAGAATTTCCTGGAAGTCAATACTGAAGCAACATGGAATTATAAGGTCACTGAGTTGGAACAACTCTTACAAAATGATCTCACTGAGGTGTGACTGCCAATCAGGGCAGGACCTAGAGTTGCCGCCAATGTGCAGGCCAAACAATAGAGCGGTTCCCTTCTCAAGTCTGCCTTTAGCCTGGGGTGTTGTTTTGTTGGTTCTTTACACATTTCTTATTTGTACAAAAGGTTAAACTGAATAATAACAATATTAACAACAGTAACCTAACTTTTTCCCTGTCAAATTAACTGTGAGTGTTGTGTGAATATGTACATGTGTTTGCTGTATGTATGCATGTGTATGCATGGCATATGTATTCATATGTGTGTGGTATATTATGTGGTATATAGTGTGTATATGTGGTATATAGTGTGTATATGTGGCATATGAGTGTATGTGGTATATGTGTATATGGGTGTATGTATGAAATGTGCATGTGGTGTGTGATATTTATATATGTGGGGACAGTGTATATGGTATGTGTGTATGTAGTATGTATGTGTATGTAATATGTATGTGTAGTATGTGTGGTATATTTGTGTGTATATGTATGTGTATAGTATGTATATGTGTATTTGTGATGTATGTGGTATATATGTATATAGATGTGTGTGGTATATACGTGTATTGTGTTATGTATGTATGTGTTGTATGTAATGTGTGTGTAATATGTATATGTGCATGTGTAGTATGTGTGGTATTTTTGTGTGTATATGTGGTATGTGTGTAGTATGTATATGTGTATTTGATGATGTGTGTGGTATATATGCATATATATGTGTGTGGTATATACGTGTATGTGTGTAGTATGTATGTGTGTGGTATGTATGTTTGTGGTATAATGTATGTGTATGTATGTGATGCTGCAGATTAAACCCAGAGTTCCATGTGTGCTAGGGAGCTACATCCCAGTCCTAATCATTTTGCTGATATTTTCACGGGGATTTTCAAGTTCTAGAATATTGTAGATTGACACAACTGGAATTCTTTCAAACATTTCAAAATGTCTAGTAAGTTAAATATTCAGAAATTTTAAACAAAATACAAAAAGCATGAGGTTACATGTTTTCAAAGAAAAAAATTTAAATGCCAGGTGGCAGAAACAAAAACCTAGCTGAAAATTTAAGCAGTGAGCACATTAGCAGATGCTTATGCCATGTAGGATGTGGGAGGCTGAGGCCAGCCTGGGCTACAGAGTGAGACAAAAAGGAAAATGAACAATAAAAATAAGTAGCCCAGGACACAATAAGAATGCTAATAGCAGCTTCCTCATGGCAGCTCAGACAGGAAGCAGTCTGAGTATATACCAACAGGAGCCTAAATAAACAGTTTACAATTTATCCACACCATAGATCAACGAAAATGAACTACAGGCTGGAGAGACGGCTCAGCAGTTAAGAACACAGGCTTCTCTTGAAGAGGACCTGGGTTGAGCTCCCATTTCTCATATGGAGGCTCACAACCATCTGTAACTCCAGTTCCAGGGATCTGATGCCCTCTTCTGACCTAGGAAGGCACCTGGCATGCACGTGGTGCACAGACATGCATGTGACCAAGACACTTATACACACAAAATAAAGTAAATAAATCCTTTTAAATGAACTACTAATACACACAACAACATCCCAAAGCGTAGGCTGCGGAGTGAAGAACCCAACCTCAGAAGCTCAGTTTCTGCTTGGTGGAGGACACTGGTGACCCGGAGAGCAGTAAGGTATAGGAATGAGAGGGAATACACAAAGACGGCTGAGACACAGCTAACCCGGAAGAAGGTAGACCTCAGCAGTTGGTCCTCTTTGCATGTCACCTTGCCTATGTGGAAGCAGTCATCCGCTGTGAGGGAGAAGAGTTGCCTGGGACTGTAGAGGTCAGTGATGGAGGAGCCCGTGACCCTCTGGAAGACACCCTGGGCCAGGCCCTTCACGTTGAGCATGTACACATCCTGCAGGCGCATCAGGGCTCTCGCTGCTCCCTCAAGGTCCTCAAAAGCGGGAAGGTCTTTCTCCACCTTCTCATAACCATCCTTCAGGGCTGTAAAAGTAGTAGACTGTATCCCAGCCTCCAAACACAGTAAAGTAGTAAGACTGCATCCCAGCCTCCAAACACAGTAAAGTAGTAAGACTGAATCCTAGCCTCTAAACACAGTAAAGTAGTAAGACTGTATCCCAGCCTCCAAATTACTTAAAAGTTTGAAGTAGAAACTACTAGAAGGCCACAACTTTCTACACATACATACATACATACATACATATATACACATACATAACTGGGTAGATACACACTTCTTTACTTGACTGCAGTGGAGGTCAAGTGAGATAACAGATGTGAAGACATTTTCCAATCTAAAATCATGAAGTTAAACGCAAGGGGACCAACTTTATAGACTTTAAAGGGTTTAAGAACACAAATAATCCTCATTGTAACTCAGCAGAATCTCTCTCCTTGCGCTGAGCCAGGAGCTAGAAGCTTCTCCGTACTTTGCAACTCTCCTCACACTTAGCAACCTCCTCATTACCTCGGATGTTCTCAGCAGCCTCCAGACTGTGCACCACGTTCCTCCAGTCAGACTGCAGACGTTTGATGAGAGCAAAGGCAAGCAGAGGGTTCACTACGGGGACTGTCGCGTCCTCGTGCAAAGAAAGCACCTTGTCGTAAAATCTGAAAGAAACGATAAAGAATTATCTCACCTCTAGACCCAACCGTTACATCCCAGGAAGGCTGGCATGGGAACAGCTGAAATTAAGAGCTGGGTACAGCTGTACCTGCCTGTAGTCCTCATTTCATTAGGCATGGGGAGGTGGTGGTGTGGAAATGGAAATCCTGAACCTCTTGCAACCCATGTAAATGGTTCAACTAAAAAATTCAGGCAAGCATAAAAGACGTGAAAGCTATAAATACATAAAAGTGGGTCCATTCATTTATTCACTGGCTGAGTCCGTGTAGACCATTTAGTGACAATATATCTGGCACTATGCTAAATAGGTACCTGTGTATGTAGGGATACACACGTAAGACACAGTCCAGTTCAAAGAGTTTACAGGAACAAAGTTCTCTTCTTCCTTTATTGTCCTATGCCCAATACTTAGTGTCTGGAAGGGACACAAAAGCATGAAACAAATAACAGTCAATGTGATTACACTAAGAGAGCCTTGAACACACAAAGCTGTGATGTCAGAGGTGAGGGGTAGGTTCCTGGAAGAAGCACCTGATCAGCTTCTTGAAAGGTGTTTAAATATTTTGATGACTATTGGATCCTTACAATGTACTTGCTCCGAAGCTTCCAGAAAGTCCAACGTTCAGCACAAACTAAGGAACAAGAATCTGGGCCTGGGCGACCCAAGCAAGACACAGAAGCCTGTCAAGTCCCATGGTGTCTCCTATCCCAAAGATGGGGCTGCTCGTGAGCTGGCTCTCTGGGGTTCCAAATCCAAACCAGCCTCCGAGGTGCTGGGATAGTTTTACTGCCCGTTCTTTCCCGCTTGGGCTCCATATGGAACCACTTACCGAACTGCTAGACAGAAAGAAGTGTACAAGTGTGAGTCCGAGCCAAGTCCAGCCTGAAAAGTAGAGTCCAGGAGCAATTGAGGCTGAGCACAGAGTGATTTTTACAAGATAGTTGGACACAGAGGAGCTGGGAGCCGGCCTAAGACTTATTCTGACCCAGCCACCAACCAACTCTGTCCTGGGAGGTGACAAAGCTGCTCTAGTCTTTCCACTTCACATCTGCCATTCCTTCCCATCACCTTTTCCACTGTGGAATAAACAGACTCCCTGTTAGGGTCTATAGACTGCCCGTTAGGACAAATGTTTAATAGGCACCCAACTAACAGTGGCCCAAAGGGAAAGAAGTGTGGCACAGGGGTGACTATTATTCCACGTTAATCATCTTATCAAAGCTCTATCTACACCTTGTCTTCCTTGCATCCACGTCACATTCTGGTTTGTTTTAGACCAGGGTTTGCTCTTTACTGCAGCACATCAAGCAATGCAGTGGTCAAATATGACTTTTCCCTCCTTCCACACAGGAAAGAAAGGAAAAAAAAGCTATAGACTGATATCTGAGGCTGGCTAGGAATGCAAAACTTGGCTGTATGCCCAGCCTCTGAGCAAACAGCTCCTTTTCAGAGACTGAGTTACGGGACGCTGACGGCAAACCTCAGACTTTCCCAAATGGCTTTTTGCTTTAACAAATGCTGCTGAGAGTGGAAAATCAGATTCCTTCCTTCAAGGATCTGCACATAAAATTTGCAACCCAATCCCTGCAATAAGCATCCTGGTAGGCTATTCAACCGCAATACATGGACTCTATCAATTCCATGTTTCTTATTTGAGATTGAGAAATGGCTTTGTCATCATTCTTCTGAGACACTCTGAATGCTTCATTCTGAGCCCAGAAATAATTCCACTCTTTGTAGGTTTAAATGGTAGGAACACGAATATGCTGGAGATGGGCTACACACATGCCGACTGTGAGCCCTGCTAGTACAGTGGCGGGGACCCTAACCAGCACACTTTCCTTGCTCATTTCCTGATTTGGAAATGCAAAAACATATAAGCCTTAGAAGTAACATTTCAACTTATATAAAATCATCATCTTGAGACTATAGAAAAATGAGCTGAAACTGCCTGAATTCTCATTTTTAAAAGCAAACATTTTGCTGGGCTTTAGAGCAAGACTTGGACAGAATCATAGCCTCTAATACATCAAATTGAGTTTGACAAAATTAAACATTCATAATCATCTGAGAAAAGAAAGAGTTTTTAAAATTCTTTTTTAATCTTTTAGAATGTCAGTTAGTGGGTAAGGCTGACAGGATAGCAGTTTCAAAAGCATTATTTGAGACCGGGACTCATTGTAGTCTAGCCTGGCCTCAAATTCACAGTAGTCTTCCTGCCTTAGTCTCCCCAGGGGTGGGATTACACTTATCTCATTTGGTTGTTTATTTTGTTTTTCTGAGACAGGGTTTCTCTGTGCACCTTGGCTGTTCTGGAACTTGACCTGTAGACCAGGCTGGCCTAGAACTGACAGTGATCCTCCTGCCTCTGCCTCCTGAGTGCTGGGATTAAAGGCATGCACCACCATCGCCTGCTGATCAGCCAGTCTTAAATAGACATAAAAGTTAACAGTTGTCCAGCAATCTTCTATATGCTAAGCACAATGATAAATAACTTCACCTCGAACTCAATCATTCCAAGAAACATGTGGGAATGTGCTATTTTTTAAAAATCATCATTGTACATAGATCAGGAAACTAAAGCTTAACCATGTAATAAGGATAGAGTCGAGAATTCAGACAGAGGTCTGTTGAGTTCCTGCATCTAGACTCCGAACCATTCTTTACACCAGCCCCTGACAGAGTGATTGTGGGCTCTGTTTGGGGCCTGACATATCAGAGGATGTGAGTGTAGGTGGGCATCAGAACGTAACAGAATGGACACTGGGAATTAAAACAAGCTCCTTCATTGTAGACAGGTCTCTTTTGTTAGCTTTTCGTAAGTTTGTGTCATGTTTCTAGAGTTTTTTTTTTTCTTAGTGTAAGAATGTGACCAACCAACTTGGATGACGCCACCCAGACAAATGCTTGTTCACACACAAGTCATCAGTACCACCAAGGGCTATTTGAAGTGCAGACTACAGGACTAAGCCAACTCTTATGAAACTGACCGTCCTTAATGACCATTTCTTATAAACATCAGTACAAGTGGAGCAGGGAGAGTTCGGGTGTTGGCATGGGGGAGAATTTGAAGTTTAAAGCTACAGCTAGAAATCATATGGTCTGCCTGCGTTCTGTCTAGACAAGCTGTAAGGCCGACTGGATTCGTGTGGAAACCACGCTCCTCACAGTCTGGGGGCTTCCCAGTGTCTGAAGCAGAGAAAGCACACAGCATGTGACATCATATACAAACATTCCTTTTTGTCTTTGACACTGATTAGCGTCCTATGTCCCACTTTTTTGTTGGTATAGTTAATCTTTTGTTTGTTTTTGAGATTTGGGTTTCTCTGTGTAGCCTTGGCTGTCCTGAAACTTGCTCTATAGCCCAGGCTGGCCTCCAAACCACAGTGATCCACCTGCCTCTACCTCCTGAGTGTGGGATTAAAGGCGTGTGCCACACAGCCCAACGTGTCCCACGTCTTACACAGTGTACATCCTAATGTTTGGCACTACTTTACTGACTGAATAGAAAATAACATTAGCTGTGTTCTGTGCACGCTACCCTCAGTATTACCTAGCCTGAAACGGCTTTTCGCCATGTTGGAGTCAGATTATTGTCACACACATATAACCTCTTAGCTCCAATTTACATTCAGAGACCTTTTACCTGTGGGAAGAGAAAGAAGAGACAAAATGGTCACCTCACCGTCCTACTGTGTCTGTGGTAAGGTGACAGGAAGCCTGGGGTCACTCACAACAGCATTTGTGAGATTCAGCTGGATTCCATGATCACCAAGCTACCCTTTTCCACAGTGTACCAACTTGGACATGTTGGGGGGGGGCCCGGTTTGTGTGTGTGTGTGTGTGTGTGTGTGAGAGAGAGAGAGAGAGAGAGAGAGAGAGAGACAGAGACAGAGAGAGAGAGAGAGACAGAGAGAGAAACAGAGAGACAGAGAGAGAGGATAGATAGAGAGAGAGGAGAGAGAGAGAGACAGAGACAGAGAGAGACAGAGAGAGAAACAGAGAGACAGAGAGAGAGGATAGATAGAGAGAGGAGAGGAGA